CCCCAGTCTATATATAGATGAAACACAAGATAGAGATAAAACACAAAGGAGAAATTTATTCGCCCACATAAACTCAGTATTTCAAAATGCCAAAGGCAATAGAGAAATCAGAGTTGTTCATTTCTGTTCCTGTGCAGTCCTATGTCGATAATTATGAATCCATATGAATATATAAGTCCCTATACTTATCCGCGAACAAGGATGTATCGTTATAAATATTCATATATGAATAAATCCAAACAGGCTGGTATAGATATAAATGCAGGAGTACATATATGGGGATATGGGCATATACCATATAGAATAATGTGGTGGGAACCATAACATCAACCAGAGAGAAATTAAAGCAAGAATCGAATAATGGAATTCCAAATTTTGGAAGGAATATCTAGGATAACCTCGGTATTATTATGGTTTGCGTACGATAACGGCATCGTAAGTATCATATGTCCCCTATCAATAGAGACAAGCTATTCCCTCCTCATTATGGAAGGAACAACTTTATCATATTTATAACACATGGAGATATCATCTCCCATGATGTACCATAATCCTGCTCATAACTCGTCCCTGGAAGGATCAGGCCATGAACATATAACCACCACCAATAACACTACTGAAATTGTGCGCCCCAGGAATACTAGGCTATTATTGACACATGTTCAGAGACACTTGAAATTAGTATAGGTTTCAGGATCTTCTCTCGGAAGGGATTATACATATATCCTGAAAAATAAAGGCAATATTGACAGATACTGTAAAGAGTCCTTGTTAGAGAATTTTCAGAAACGAAGTCTCACACCTACTTGGGATATTTTAGATAGGCGCTGGCCGGCACATACTATACAGGAACTCACAAATAATGATGCAATAATTGATGAAAGCTCAAAAGGGGGATTATCAGGGGATCTAAAGCCGCGTTATTCTTTTGTACACGACATAGGAAACATACACATCGTTATGATTACACATAATATGAACATTCTACGATGCATTCTTCAGAAGATTAGATACATAGAACACAGAGTCCTAACTACCGGAATCAGCATTATCATAGAATATCATAGAGAATTAAGTGTGGCTATCCAAGAGACTTTATCAATGAGAAATAAAACTTTCAGCACTGAAGTAAAACGTCAAGCAAATTATCTCCTGAGCCTCAAAGGGAAAATTCGAAGAATCCATACGATACATCAGGAAATGAAAGGATGAATCTTAGTAAGTATGGCAATACTCAAAATCCCGAATCATCAGGGAGCATTTTGGGGAATCCGTACTATAATCCTCAAGCAATACCCCGCCGTCATCAATACGGTGTGGGATCCAATACGTAAGATCACAGCAGCAGAAATAATACATACATGTCGAAGAATTCTACATCGTTCCGCATTGTCCTTATCATATAAGGCATAGAATTCCTTAGGAAGGGGTAAATACCATCCGCATATTCGGAAGAGTTAGTACTGGCTACTTGGGATTTAAGTATATCGTCTCATTCTCCCTTTATGGATGTTGGTTGCATTCACACTGGAAGCATTACCGCTATTAGTAGGCTTCCCATTGACAGCTGTCCTTTCTGTATCTTATGGACTCCTTGTTTTAGGCGTCATAGGATATCTCTATGTGCTTCTGACAGTATCCGAATATGGGCGAACCTTCGACCGTATCAGTAAGCCTCGTTTTAAGGATTGTATATGAGGCGTGGAGAAATACATGTGAGACAAAATCTCAGCAGCCTGTTCCAACACAGTAACTGATTATTATTGGATGCTATGTTGAAATGATAGCGGTGAGCCTCCATCGCTGAAGGGGGATCGTAACTCCCATAACCCCTTTTTAATTTGAACAATTAGTGCCCTTTTTCTTCTTACCATCCTATCTACATCACAATTCAACTGTGTTTCGTATCGTAACATGTGATGTTGACCTGAGTAAGTCACTTCTTTTAGTTTTACATTAATATGGTCGTCATAAAGCCGTTTCTGTGGTATGTAGAATTATAAGGAAGGATCCCCCATCTTGTGGGTGTCTTGGATATCTTCGGAATGCTGCAAACCTATATAGCTATATGGATGCCTTATCATTTAACCCCAATACATCTCCTCGAATCAGAGTCTGGTATACGAATCTAAAATGGCTATACCATTTATTCTTGTCATGACGACAGGTGATCCTTTCTTTTTTCTGGCGTGTACCTTCCTCAAGCTGATCAGGAGTATGTTTCGTGTCTACGAAAAGGAAACTTACTGGTCGAATGTTATTAGTTTCTAAAAAGGGGAGTCTTGTTTTTCGCTAAGGTACGGATCAGGATAATTCAGCAGGAATTTCTATCACGGGTTAGCAGTGGAATTATTATATGCCCTCTCTCATGTGTCTCACACTGGCTGTTTTTGTTTTCACTTCCGTTCTGGTTCTATGTAGTTCAATCTCCATATATTTTATCTTTTCTCTCGATGTTAATATTAGGAGGGACATGTGACTTCCTTTTTAATCTCTGTTTTACTAAAATCAAGAAAATTGTTTTAATTCATTTGTCGCTACTCAGCACTGTTATCTTCCCTTTTTGCTGTTTTGTATTTTTTGTACTCTTTGTTAAAGGAAACAAGGAGAATGAAGACGGAGCAGACACGTATTATAAGCATTCTCACATTTGATTCATTAATACAACGATATGTAATCAGGAATGATTCTCATATGGCTGCATAAATATCTGTTACATCATTATAATTTCTTGCAGATATTTCTGATTTCATTCGTATACCTCTTCCTCCAGTCATTGTTAGATGCGTCACACCACAAAACAGGATATCGTGTGCAGGACACTTGGCATGCTGCCGTGATATCGTTTGTTTTTCTTGTTATTTGGCCTGTATCTCTTCCTTAGAGAAGTAGCTGAGCTATATACTCAAAGATGATTTCATATACGATAAGAAGCATGTTGCTGTCACCTGTCCTATTAGTTGATGTGAGGAAAAGGTTGGAGAATCCAATATGTGTGTAAAGGAGGCAAAGATATGAGCAAAAACATTCCGTGATCAATTAGGGAGCAAATATTAAAACATAGAGGTGCACAAATCCGATGATGACTACTTTATGACACCAGTCCTCAACTTAAGTTGGAGGAAGGAGCGGGAAGAATTCTATAAGATGATCCAAACCTCCCATTTATGCGTAGCCCGCGCCAAATGATCTTAAAAAGAAGCAGCAATGGAGTTTTCGGATACATGTTTCCCACCGTCCAACGAACACCTGTCCAATACCAAGCTTCTAATGTAACACTATGCAGATCCTGTACTGAAGTGTACTTCTCAATATATAGTCTCTTAAACCGTATCCTCTCTTACCACTTCCTTATATAAGAATCTGTTGATGACTGATCCCCTGTTCCCTGTGTGTGTTCCTCAAAGAAGAATTAGTTAATACGATGAATTCATATTTATCTGTTGATGCAGCATATCTAGGCCGTCTATGTCTTTTTTATTTTCTTTGCACAACAGCCCAAAACCAACGGAGAAGATCATGGTTTATTTAGACCCTTCATTTCTCTTAAGCCCAACGATTTGTTCAATACCAGATTCTTATTATTATAATGTGTCTAGGAATCTCCTGATAAGATCTATCTCGCCTTTATATTATGTGAAGAATTTACCCAATGGATTCAAAGAGCAACAAATCCCCCCCAGAAACAGTCGCCAGAAGATCCATCTCTTGAATGCAGAAAAGGTTCGAGAGAAAGGATGTGATGGAGTTTGTTTGAAACCACTAAAGGTCCCAGGTAAATTGCTCTCCATGAATGGGAATTAGCAGAGGAGAAGGGTTCCGTATCTATATACCTATATATAATATCTATACGGTCCCATGAGGAGGAAAAACAGGAGGGGCTGAGTTGCACTACTCATGTATCTGAAGCAGAACTATATTTTTACCATCTTTGGCCAGAATCCTCCATAAAATTCCTGTTTTTATGGGAAAATCCTGTAGGATCTACTTCTTCACATTATGTATAAATTATGAGGTGGGCACACTTAATGATAAGAAACAAATCTCATTTTATGAAAGGGGAAGTATCATTCCGAGACCAGAAGGGGACACATAATGCCCTTCAATATTGCAGACATATTATTCTATTTGTAAATAATAATTCCTTGAACAGAAGCAACTTTTAGTGCCTCTTAGAAATTCAGCCCATCAAAATGTTAAATAGAAAGAATATTGATCTACAGAAGAGCCTCAAGGGTCTGATGACCCGAGGATGTAGTAAAATTCAGTATCTAAAACGGGACTTTACTGAGTGAGAAGATATATATGAGTGTATTCAGTTGAGGGTTCAAATGTCGTCTGATTATATCGGGAGTTACTCTGCAGAAAATCTGACCCCCTTCCATTGTTCCCTTATTTCATCATTTTTTTGAAGAAGATTAAGGATAATATGTCGAAGAATAAAAAAGGCGTTGACGGAATTTTCTTAGCATATCACTAAATTATTCTTCCTTCACGCCCCCTTGAAGTCTATAAATACCTTTCCCTGCACCAAGGATTAAAATATCTCTAGTTGTTTTTTAGTTGAAAGATGAATCACCGAATTATATAACGGAACAAGCTTCACGAAATAAAAACATTTCTGAGTCCTATATACCAAGTAATCAATGGACCATACAAAATACGAGATAAGAGTCAAACCCCAGAAGGAAGCGGGTGAACTCATCAGGAAGATAACAATACCGGTTGAACCATAAAATCAAAATCAACACCAATCTGGAACATTCAATAAGTCTTAAGAGGACTCAAACATTCCACAAAACATACAGGTGGAGTTGAAATCTCAAAGTCAAATCTAGAGGCAATCTCCCTAAAGGAAAACAAATGCGAGCTCAGCCATACCAGCTGGAAAGTACAAGTGAAAACTGAAAGGCCAAAATACAAGGAAGTCCATAATCATGGAAAGAACAACCGAGATTCCAGGAAGAGAAATCCTAATCCCTAAAACCAAGAGGACATGACGTTGGGGGAACAAAAGGAATGAACTAAGACAACTATGGAAAACAGGAGTCCACGAGAGACTGAGAAACACGCCATAAGACAAGGGACCTCAGGGGTTGAGCAAAAGAGGGATGAAATCGCTACAGCAGCCGTACGCACCAAAGGCAAACCAGTAGAAGAAGGGAAGCCGGACAAAACACCTGATGACTACAGCCTAGGTCATGCAACAGGAAAACAAGCAGAAATAATGAATGAGTAATCGGGCATAAGCAGACGAGAGAAGCCCCTAATAGCTAAAAAATAAAGAGTGAAACATGAAGACTAAAAGGACGACGATAAAGTCTAAACCGTAAGAGTCAAGCAGAAGCTCAGAGATCATAGGAAGTACATAATAAGATGAATCGAATGAATCCGACAACGTGGACCGTACAAGGAGTAACCCAAGATCTAACCACTAGAGACTCAGGAAGATACCCTAAAACATAGCTTCCCAGAACTCAACTTTGAGAGTTAACACCTCAAGATCAGGGAGTCATACCTAACACCTAAGGAGGAACCCGAAGGCACTCAATCCTGAGCGGTAATCTAATGAAACCCTCAAGACAAAAGCTAAAGTCTAACCCCTAATCCATAGCACTAAAACGTACAACCACCATCCTAAAACTAATTCCCGACCCCTGAAGACTAAAACATCACCCCTAAAACCGAAATGTATCCCCTGATCGCTGACAGTAACCCGTGACCCCACAAACCTAACACTAATCCCTGAAACATGAACACTAGATCCTGAACCCTAAAAACTGAAACTAAACCCTGAGCCATTGACCCTCAACCCTAAGCCTAAACCTAAATCATAAATCCGAAATCCCGAACCCTAAACCTTCAACCCTGAGATCTGAGGGCTGAACCGTCCTCCCTAAGCCTAAACCCTTAACCCTATCCGAACACCGGAACCCCTGAACTGTAAACCCTGAACTTAAACCCTGAACCCTGAAGCTAAACCTGAACACTAAACATATCCCATGGACCCTAAACCCTTAACCCTGAACCCTAAACCTAAACCCTGAACCCTAAACCTAACCCTAAACCTAAACCCTGAACCCTGAACCCTAAACCTAAACCCTGAACCCTAAACCTAAACCCTGAACCCTGAAAACTGAACCCTAAATCCCTGACCCCTGAACCCTTAACCCTAAACCATGAACCATGAACCCTAAACCCTGAACCCTAAACCCTGAACCTTAAACCTAAACCTGAACCCTGAACCTAGACCCTAAACCCTGAACCCTAATCCCTGAACCCTGAAACACGAACCCTGAACCCAAGACCTGAAAACTAAACCCTGAACCCTGAACCCTGAACCCTAAACCCTAGGGACTAAACCCTAAACCCTGAACCCTAACCCCTCACCCTAAACCCTAAACCTAAGCCCTAAAACATAAAGCATAAACACTGAATCCTAAACCCTGACCCCTAATCCCTGAAGCCTGAAACCGTAAACCCTGAAGCCTGGGACCCTAAATCTAGAACCTAAACCCTAAACCATGAACCCTTGACCCTGAGCCTTAAACCGTAACCCTGAAGCTAGAACCTGAACCCTGAACCTAGAACCTGAACCCTGAACCCTGAACCCTGAACCCTGAACCCTGAAGCCGAACCCAAACCTATAACATGAATCCCAAGCCTCTAATGCACGAGACCCTCCCTTAAACGGCCGACTCCAGAACCCTTGGGGGAGACCCATGACCCGTAACCCCAACCGCAATTCTGTGCCCCTCGTTAAGGAACACTCCCCACCTCCTCCCCCAGACGTCAATCCGGTCCCCCCTTTACCCCCAATGATGTTGCCTGATCCTCACATGTCCAGCCTCAGACTTCCCCCGGTCTATGCTCCCGTGGGTAGTCGCCCACCCTCAGTCCCTGACCTCCCAGAATCCCTCCCTTGCCTCCGGACGGGGAGGTTGTTGGTCGGCATATGGGATCATCGATCTTCCCTGAGGGGCTTCTTCCCTTCCACTCCACGGAATCAATCAATCGGCTGTCAGTGGCCACTTGACGCTGCACGGTCCGCTCGGTGGGGGCCCCCTTAGTCTTTTGCTATTCGATCTCAACCTTATTTGGGGGTGTTCGCCCCTCTGGGGGGTAAGCTCCCTGGGATTTTTCATACCTGATGTACACTTCACTATCACGACCAGCGATCCCCCTCCTCGAATTGCGGCGACTGCGTCCAAAATACACACGAGATATACCATAGACACTCGCTACGGCTAATATAACCCCTACTAGCCCCCCAATCATACCACCCACGTCCGGCTTGCTACTACTTTGGCTCCCGCTTTGGTCAGTTTTAGGAGAGACTTTAACCGGTCTCATGAAATCTCCTTCAGATTCTGGGCTAACTTCCTCTAGTTGGATCAACTCTTGGTCCCTGGAGTGGTGGGGGGTCTTGTCAGGTACTTCCCCTTGGCGCGATAGATGGGGGGGGGGCTCGGGGCCA